GAAATAGAGGCTTCTCTGTTGCTGGTGTTATGAAGGAGCAGCTATGAGGTTAAAGTTATTAAAACAGTGTTAATAGATTATGGAAACCTTTTAAATGAGCAGTCAATGGATGTTTTTGTCGTTACAATGTTTTTAAAAATAATTCTCAATAATAAATAAAACATCAGGTAAAAATGAAAAAAAAATATCATAATACATGGAATGCATGAAAACAAATCAACAAAATAAATCTTTAATTTAACATATTATAGTATTTTTAATCAAAGTTCTTGATAATAGTATAAAAGCATAAAATTTATGAAGATATTAAAGATGTACATTTTTTTTTTATTTTCTTGTCTTTTTTAACATTATATTACCAAAAATGTAAATTTGTATAGATTTAATTCATTATACATGATTGCATACCTAGTCACCTTGCTATGATAGATAAATTTTACATGTCAGTGAAATAAAGGTGTATTATTTTTTAATACTGTGAAATCACTAATTGTCGTTGGGGGTAATTTTCATTTTGTTTGAGGTATTGAGAGACACAATTTATGACCATCACGAAATGTAAAATTCCATATGCATTATTTGCTAAACATTCACAAAATCACCCCCCCCCCAAACCTCGAAAATTTCTCCTCAAGAAAATATGTGATTTTACAGTACCATTTAACCATTGTACTTCTTGTTAAAAAAAATAGATGTATAACTCCCAATTAAAAAAAGAAAAGAAAAATAAGACTCTATAGTAAAATTTTTATTGTTTAAAACAAGAATGTAATATCCGCCAATTACTTTGAGAGTTAGTATGAATCTGAGGGCGGCCATGGAATGGGTTGACATCAGAGCTGGGATCCAACTGTACCACTACAAATCAAACTTGGTAATGACATTGTTATCAAATATTTCATAAAACTTTAAAATTTCACGTCTGTGTTTAGTTTACATCAAAATACTTACATGAACAGCTAAAGACAGTCAAGTTTGCACTATATGCAATTATTGAGCTGTATTAAAGTTCCTCGATACAGTACAATTTTATAAAATGCATGTGTAAAAATTATTTTTATCATAACGCGTCAGACTTTGAACTACGTTTATTTTGAAGATATAATGTACTTGTTTATAAAAATTTAATGATAGGGAAGCAATATTTAAAAATTGTTATAACATCTTTTGAACATTAATTGCGAGATGTTCTCTCCTAAACAGTTGATTACATTAACTCAAGAATAATTTGAATTTGTTCTTCCATAATTGCGCATATCAATCAATTTGAATCACTTTAAATTCACGAATTTCAAAAAACAATATTTTTTAAAGTCTGAAAAGGCAAGGGAAACTAGAATGAATTTTTCAATTTAATTGCCATCTTATTTTTTTTTTCATGGTAGGGTCAGGGTTCAAATGATAAAGACTGAATCATACGAGGACGAACTGTGAGGAAACAGCAAGTTTATTTATTGTCAAGGAAGGAAATAGAGGCTTCTCTGTTGCTGGTGTTATGAAGGAGCAGCTATGAGGTTAAAGTTATTAAAGCAGAGTTAATAGATTATGGAAACCTTTTAAATGAGCAGTCAATGGATGTTTTTGTCGTTACAATGTTTTTAAAAAAATAATTCTCAATAATAAATAAAACATCAGGTAAAAATGAAAAAAAATATATATATCATAATACATGGAATGCATGAAAACAAATCAACAAAATAAATCTTTAATTTAACATATTATGATATTTTTAATTAAAGTTCTTGATAATAGTATAAAAGCATAAAATTTATGAAGATATTAAAGATGTACATTTTTTTTTTATTTTCTTGTCTTTTTTAACATTTTATTACCAAAAATGTAAATTTGTATAGATTTAATTCATTATACATGATTGCATACCTAGTCACCTTGCTATGATAGATAAATTTTACATGTCAGTGAAATAAAGGTGTATTATTTTTTAATACTGTGAAATCACTAATTGTCGTTGGGGGTAATTTTCATTTTGTTTGAGGTATTGAGAGACACAATTTATGACCATCACGAAATGTAAAATTCCATATGCATTATTTGCTAAACATTCACAAAATCAATCACCCCCCCCAAACCTCGAAAATTTGACCTCAAGAAAATATGTGATTTTACAGTACCATTTAACCATTGTACTTCTTGTTTAAAAAAAATAGATGTATAACTCCCAATTAAAAAAAAAGAAAAATAAGACTCTATAGTAAAATTTTTATTGTTTAAAACAAGAATGTAATATCCCAATTACTTTGAGAGTTAGTATGAATCTGAGGGCGGCCATGGAATGGGTTGACATCAGAGCTGGGATCCAACTGTACCACTACAAATCAAACTTGGTAATGACATTGTTATCAAATATTTCATAAAACTTTAAAATTTCACGTCTGTGTTTAGTTTACATCAAAATACTTGCATGAATTTACAGCTAAAGACAGTCAAGTTTGCACTATATGCAATTATTGAGCTGTATTAAAGTTCCTTGATTCAGTACAATCATATAAAATGCACGTGTAAAAATATTTTTATCATAACGTGTCAGACTTTAAACTATGTTTACTTTGAAATATAATATACAATTGTGGACTTCAATGTAGGTCGATATGTGGTTATAAGGATTCATGGCAATTGATATTGACCGAAGACACAGAAAGTGATACCGACCGAGCCTCCGAGGTCGCTATCATTTTCTGAGTCTGAGGTCAATATCAATTGCCATTTGTCCTTATAACCACATATTGACCGTTCACTGAAGTCCATAATAGTTATATAATCACTCAATTTGAATGCACTGACACAGTCCTAACTGAATGTACTTGCTTGTCATTACGTCACAACTCTTAAATTCACGCTTTTTATATTATGACGTCATGTACTATTTAACTTTAGTGCAAACGAACGGCGTGTCGTGCGATATCATTTTCTTTCAGCCAATGAAAACTACGACAATAATCTACTTATATAATATTGCACTTGTTTATTAAAAAATTAATGATATGAATGCAATATTCAAAATTGTTATAACATCTTTTGAATATTCATTGCAAGATTTTCTCTATTAAACAGTTGTTTACGTTAACTCAAAAATAATTCGAATTTGCTCTTCCATAATTGCACTTATCAATCAATTTGAACCACTTTAAATTCACGAATTTCGAAAAACAATATTGAAAATTTCCGTGTCATGAATTCTGTTGATAATTTTGTAACGGGCCAAGCAGAATGTGGGGAAAAAAAACTCCCAGAAGGCGGAGGATTAATATGAGAGTTTATTTCCTATGTAGCTTGTAGCACGCCCTTTGATTGGTTACAAAGTCGGTTGTAAATTTCCGTACACTCGACTTGAGCCGGGTGTAAATAAAACGTGACGTCACAATGCATAGTTTTTCTAAAATACAAAGCAAATGACATGACGTCACGATGCATTGTAGTACGTAGTAAATCTTATCGATAGGTTGAGACACAGTAGATTGGATTTATGTTTACAAAGAATTTTTATGGATACATAGGAAATAAATTCGTTATCCAGGTCCAATCAAGGGTGTACGGGGATTTACCCCGGGTTGCATTCCATACACCCTGTGGCTTCAGGGTGTACGGAATACAACCCGGGGTAACTCCCCGTACACCCTTGGTTGAACATAGATAACTAATATTGACCCACAGTCAGCGTCAGGAGGCGGCACAGCTCCACAGGGAGGAAAAACGAGGTGCCTAACGTGCCTCCTATATGAAGAGGATTGTGAATTACAATACATTGCCAACACAAAACACACAACACAGAGCAGTGGAGATTTCAATAGATTGACAACACAAAATAGGGTACTGAAGATTACAATAGATTGACAACACAAAACAGAGTACTGTAGATTACAATAGATTGACAACACAAAACAGAGTACTGTAGATTACAATAGATTGACAAAACAAAACAGAGTACTGTAGAATGCAATAGATTGACAACACAAAACACACAGAGTACTGTAGATTACAATAAATTGACAACACAAAACACACAAAGTACTGTAGATTACAATAGATTGACAACACAAAACAGAGAACTGTAGATTGCAATAGATTGACAACATAAAAAACACACAGAGAACTGTAGATTACAAAAAATTGACAGCACAAAACACACAGAGTACTGTAGATAACAATAGATTTACAACACAAAACACAGTACTGTATATTACAATAGATTGGCAACCCAAAACAGAATAGTGTAGATTACAATAGATTAACAACACAAAACACAGTACTGTAGATTACAATAGATTGACAACAAAAAAACAGAGTACTTTAGATTACAATAGATTGACAACACAAAACACACATAGTACTGTAGATTACAAAAGATTCACAACACAAAACACACGAAGTACTGTAGATTAAAAAAGATTGACAGCACAAAACACACAGAGTACTGTAGATTACAATAAATTCACAAGACAAAACACACAAAGTAATGTAGATTACAATATATTGACAACACAAAACACAAAAAGGAATGTAGATTACAAAAGAATGACAACACAAAGCAGAGTACCGTATATTACAAAAGAATGACAACACAAAACACAGTACTGTAGATTACAATAGATTGACAACACAAAACACACAGAGTACTGTAGATTACAATAGAATGACAACACAAAACACACAGAGTACTGTAGATTACAATAAATCGACAAGACAAAACAAACAAAGTACTGTAGATTACAATAGATTGACAACACAAAATACACAGAGTACTGTAGATTATAATATATTGACAGCACAAAACACAAAAAGTAATGTAGATTACAAAAGAATGACAACACAAAACTCAAAACAGAGTACTGTAGATTAAAAGAGAATGACAACACAAAACACAGTACTGTATATTACAATAGAATGACAACACAAAACTGTGTACTGTAAATTACAATAGATTTACAACACAAAACACACATAGCACTGTTTTCATATATTTTACTTCAATAAACATACAAATCCTGCGTAATATCAAATGACTTTTGCACAACAATTTTATGGAACCCAGGAAAGGATAAAGGCTATTCAATGACTTGTAAACGTGGGAAAATATACAGAAAAAACTTTTATGATATATGCTATATAAATGTTGGTATTTTTGAATATATTTAAAATGTGTGGATATATATCTGAGGTCTGCATGAAGCCTTTTGATGGCCCCCGGATTTCAATTGACATGTGATCCACTTGACTTGTTGGCCGGGGTTACTGTTTTCTGTTCGAGATGGAGAGCTGGCTGTGAACAGGTTTGTTATAAAGATTAATTTAGATTAAAATATTTATGAATTTTTGAATCGAATAAATAGCTTTAAGCTAGTTATATTTTAGTTTTCTGTACAATGGTATTGATATTTTTCTCGATTTATGCACATTAAAAAAAACTACTTGTTGAACATAAAATTCATTTGACTTATCTAAATTTTTATCTTTTTATCTATCTTTTTATCTTTTATCAAAATTATAATTTTGTCAAAACTTTTTAAAATTTGAAAATATCCATAGTTTTGGGTGCAAAACTGTAACTTTTTGAGAGAGAAAAGCAGAGAGCAACAGTTAGGCAGTTGAAAAAAACGTGTTTGCATTTAAATATTTCAACAACTTTCTTTTCGTAGAATTGTATGTGAAATGAAATGAAGATATTTATAATCAAAGTGAATAGCCTCAGGGCCTTGATTTCGATAGTACCTGATTTTGTTTCTATTTAATTACTGATATAACCAAAATAATTAAGTGGACAAACATTTATATTTAACATTTTCATTATTTTATTTCTAGATAAAAAAAATGGCTTCCTCCGTATTAATACAAGGACAACATTATATTGAATGTGATGTTTGTAAAAGTCCTGTCATTTTTACGTGCAAACGATGCACCGTAAATTTATGCCATGCATGTGTAGAGTCTCACATTCTTCTCAAATCCAAAAATGGACACAATGTTACAAAATACAACGAACAAAACAAACCCAAAGGTGGAGAATGCCTGACCCATCCCCAGCAACAGTGCAGCGCCTTCTGTAAGACGTGTGATATTCCTATCTGTGTCATATGTGTCTCAATCAAACATGGCACTCATGATACATGCGAATTATCCGAGAAAGTTGACTTATTATCCGAATTCATCGCGACAGAAAATGAACGGCTGACGCTAATGAGATCCGAACTGGAGAAAATTCTGGAACAGTTAGGTAAAAGGTCGGCATCACTTCGACGTGTTTACAAGCAAACAAAAAGCAAGATTTCATTACATGCCAAAAACTGGCATAAGGAAATTGATAAAGCAGAGAAGGCAATGTACAAGGACTTAGATGATTTGCAAGAAAAACATGCAAAACTTTTACTAATGCAGAAAAAGGAATTTGACGAAATATTTAAGAAATTGAAAAATCTTGAAGAAACAGTCGACAGCTTGGCAAAATCCAAAGACGTCTCTGGTTTAATGGAATTAAATCATGAACTTGAGAATCAACAGATTCCATCCTTTATAGAAGAAATACGACCAGCATTCTTCCAACCTTTGAAGTTTAATGAAAGTTATAACTTCGGTTACATAGAGACACTAAAGACACACAAAGTGTCAATTGGCGATCTTATACAACAAGATCAAACCTCTTCATCACATCAAGCTCTTGATGTACCTACAGTTCTGTCCTCTTTTGATACAGAGTTTCCAGCTAGCAAAGAAAACAACGACCGGCTGTATGACATGGTTCCCCTCGGTGATGACAGAATGTGGGCAGGAGGAGCCAGTATAGAGCTGAAGCTGTTTGATCTCCATGGACGTCTCCACGACACTGTCACCATCATGTGTTATGGTATGTACCTAACACTTCATGACGGACACGTGGTGTACACCGATAGATATGACAATGCCGTGAAGAAGGTTATTAACGGTAAAGTAGACACGTTGTTCAATACTGGTGAGTGGAATCCTTACGGTATCAGCTGTACCGCGGCACGTGACTTCCTGGTCTGTCTCCGGAAAACAGATCAAACGGAGTCCAAGGTCGTAAGAAAAAGCAGCTCTGGTGACGTGCTGCAGGAAATCCAGTACGACTCCCAGTACCAGCCTCTGTTTGGAAAGACAAATTACGTGGTGGAGAATGGAAACGGCGACATTTGTGTAGCTGATAAAAGGGCCATTACAGTCGTTGACAAGTTCGGTATATTCAAATTCTCCTACGTTGGGAACAAAGCGTTCAAAAAGGACTTCAAACCAAGGTGCCTTACCACAGACAGCATGCATCACATCATCATCACAAACTGTAATGGTGACAAGATCCACATGCTGGACAGGGACGGCCGATTCCTGAGGTACATCATTCCTGATCAGGGGATACAGAGACCCCGGGCCGTGTGTGTGGTTAGGGAGGGGGAGTTAATGGTGGGGGAGTGTATAACGGGAATGATCAAGAGAATAAAGTACCTTCAATAAGGATGGGGTTCTATGACAATATGTATATGTATATCATGTGTGATACTAGTTATGTTCCCCAAACAAAGTTCGGGAACATATTGTTTTCATTCTGTTTCTTATTATTATTAAGGTCTTCCGTCTTCAGCAGAAGACCTTCTTGTTATTTGTTTGTTTCTTTTCCACTGTTTTTAGGGTCTTTCGTCTCCAACGGAAGACCCTTCTATTATTCTATTGTTTCTTTTCCACTTTTTAAGGTCTTCCGTCTTCAGCGGAAGACCTTTCTGTTATTCTTAGGTTTCTTTTTCACTTTTATTAGTGTTTTTTTTCTTACCAATTTTGTGCACGCGATTTCTCAAAAACGGCTCGATGGATTTCCATGAAACTTTCAGGACTTATGTAACATAACTTGAACCTTATGCATTTTTTTCCGATTTGATGACGTCACTTCCGGTTAAGAGAAATTGTCGATTTTATGAGTTTTGAAAGGTCAGTTTGTCTCCAGACTTCCTCAATAATGGCTCAAGATAGAATCATGAAACTTTCAGGTATGATAGACCAACGTCTATAGATATGTACAAAGTATTTTATTTTATTCGGAAGTGCCGCACGTCGGCGCTCGCTATGGCCCGAAAATAGTCGTATCGCGAATTTCAAAATTTTTAACATCTTTTCAACGATATCTTTTTACCTGGAAATATTTTGTTGAAACATATAGAACAAAAGAAGTGTAAAATTTCAAGATCTTTCAAATGATATCTTGTAAAAGAGGCTGGCCCCTAAAATTAGGGGCCTAGAGTGGCCGAAAGTTTTTTCTTTATATCTCAAAACGTATTGAGAATTTGTAATACGTCAAAGAAGCAAAGTTGTTCAAAATGTCCTGCTTTATCTACTGGAGTCATCAAAATATGTCTGGCGTCGTCATTTCCGGCCAAACCGGAAGTAGTCGGAAAACGCGTATTTTTGCCGTTTTTGACACGTTTTTGGATAACATATGTCTCTGGGAGCATAAAAATTAATTTTCAGTCCGTCGCGACACTTCCGGTCAGACCGGAAGTAGCCAAACATAGCTTATTTTGAAGGTTTTGATGCAAAATTGAAATTATAAAGTCACTGGAGACGACTTAGCTCATTGATTTCTTTTTGATGTCACTACCGGCACTTCCGGTCAAAACCGGACGGAAGACCTACTCGTTGCCTTGCAACGATCTTTGCTCTAGTTAAAACTGTATTTGGAGTAGCATGTTGAGAGTATTTTACAGAAATTTCTATTTTTTTAACCACATAAGGTCTTTGATATCAAACTTTTCAATCTTCAATTATCAATAGGGATACTTTATAGTAGTTGTATATTAACTATAAAATTGAAAAAAAAAATCATACTTTTTTTCGTTACCACATTTGATTTACACAGCCTTTTGAATAATTCGTAAGGGATACTAGTATTTTTCTTTCATAGCAATTGATTTTTTGTGCTGAGAAAAATATACTAGGCTTTGTCGAACATTTCTTGGAACCGAAATGTTTTTTGTTTGCTAGGACTTATATTAAGTTTAGGAAGCAAGTATAGGCAATGCTCGGGGATTAAAAAAACACACACACAACTCGTTGTATAAAAACGATATCCAACTACAAATCATGGGGGATGCTTTATATGTCAGCTGCATGAATAGTGTGTTTATGTTCTCTCAACTTATTCGCTATATGAAGGATATGGAGATAACGAACAGTATATTCAATATCAAAGTCCATAAAACAATACAAAATAGGAGCAGAGCAAACACGGACCTCCGAAACATCAGAGGTGGGATCGGTGCTGATCGTGCTCTGAGTAAGATAAACTTTTAACTAAGACAGGCTATTAACACGAAAGTTAATTAGATTATATATATATTAGAAGTGAAGATATTGTTAAGGAAGAAATAATGTTGCAGGGAGTTCAACAACATTGTTTTAAGACAATATTTCGTAAATCCTTTGGTCGTTATAATTAAGGACTGTATTATATTATGATAATAACTTGTATGTTTCCCTAAATTCAAATTTCATATACATGTTGTACAATTCTCAGTTAAGCTTGGACTTTCAGTAAAGCGTGGCATTCTCTATGTTACATAATTAGCATCTGAAATTTACACAACTTTCATTCACTGTTGAAATATAAATGGGATAGAAATTCGGGCAAATGACAACGCCTTGTAAGGAGGTGGAGCTAAAGTCGTCTCATCGTTGTGAACAACAATTTAAAGTTCCTGGTGTTATTAATTTCTTAACCAATGAGATTCTTTTCGCCATTTGACAGACGCTAAATACGTTGC